CACATCCACTAAACAGCACAGTCCAGAGCTGTCTGTGTGTGTGTGTGTGTGTGTGTGTGAGAGTGTGTTCATACTCATGTAAGTCATCCGTCCAGCGAGAGCCTCTGCGTCACCTGAGTCTCAAACAAACGACACTTTAAGACGAAGGAAGCAGTCTTTTATTACTAAGTAAACATTTGCCAGAGCACTGCAACACAAAACACATGGGCTGACATTCATGAACTTTAAAAGCTATGTGTACTGTGCAGGTGTGAGAAAGTGGGGAAAACGGGAAGCACAGTTAGACTCGTAAGCGCGACTGTGATGCATTACTAACTAAACCCATCAGAGCTGGCAGACTATGACTGTGTGAAACGCTGCAGCGCTAGTAATCACTCTACACACTACCCTTATATTCAGCTCACATTCTGGGTATAGATTTGATGAAGGGGTTATGTTGAGCTTAACTAGACTTTAATTCAACCTAAACACACACACACACAATGAAAAAAAGACAAAAATATTAATGCTTCTCACACATAACAAACAAACAAAAAATAAAATAAAAAACAAAATAAATAGATAAATATACATTTTTAAAAATGAAATAACTAATTTTTAAACGTTTATATTCTCACAAATTATCATTAACTTATATAAATGATTTGTCAATTAATATTGTTTATTTATTTATTTATACTTATTTTGACATAAAAATATAACATTTTAAACAAAAGAAGTGTGCTTTCTGTTCTTTCAAACAGTAGACATGTTGGATTGCAAACATTTTTTAATTAAAGAAAAATGATGTAGGAATTATTTAGTGTTTAAATATTATTATTATTATTATTATTATTATTATTATTATTATTAAATGTCAATAGTTAATAACTTTAATTGATATTCATATTTTACAAATATTTAAAGTACATTATCAAATTACATTATTAAGTAATATTAATATTTAAAAAGGTAATATTTCATAATAATAATAATAATAATAATTTAACAACAGGTCTGCATTTTAATAGTTCTCTAATGCTGGTCAGTAATTTTTTTTTTAAATAAAATTATTTGAATTAAAGAAACATTTATATATTAAGAATTAAAGTAACAAATCAAAAACAAACAGTCAATATTTAGGTAACAATAAAATGTTGTTTATTAATATCATACAAATATTTTTATATTAATTTTAATTCATATTAATTAAAAAATAACAATAATATTAAGTATATAATATTTCTGCAATATTAATATTCAATAATATTAATATTTCAATAATTAAAAAACTTATTTGCATGTTGCAGTTCTCTAATGTTGGTTAATGTTCACGTGACACGCAGGTAAACAATTAAAACACTAATAATTATTATGGGTTTGCTTCCCCGAGAAATTACATGCACAAAATGCTATCAACACAGAAAATGCCTTGGGTAGAAGTTACATTTTAGTAAAGGCATAAATGTCATAAATGTAAATGCAAATGCCCTCAGAGACTAGAAAGTGGCATAACAAAATACTGTACATCAAGTAATCAAATTCACAACCCTAAATGAGAAAATGTCACTAAGCTTTGAGAAGAATGTCACAGTGATTTCCGACAAATCAAAAACTGATGGGAATTCAAATCAACACAACGGGCATTTTACTTCCGCAGTGTGACATTTTCACAGGAAACAGAGTATTTTGTGAGTTTGCAGTGGATGCTGAGCAAGATGTGAGGCTGAAGGTGGAGTTCAGCTGAGTGTGTGCTGCAGTGTTTGATTGGACGCATGACCTTTGACTGCGGGATGCATTTCCCTGCTGTCCGTGACACAACAGCAGAACCCTCTTCTCCAGCGCTCGTCTGTTTGATTAGAAAGCGCTTCCCATTAAATGAGTGCTCAGCCTCGGACGGAAAACCACTTCACTTCCTCCTGCTTCACGTCCATCTGAGAGACCGCAGCACTTGTTTAAAGGGGTCCTATTATGCTTTTTCACTTTTTCAACTTTAGTTAGTCTGTAATGTTGCTGTTTGAGCATAAAAAAGATCTGCAAAGTTACAAAGCTCAAAGTCGATTTCAAAAGGAGATATTTTATTTAACAGAAACCACTTTTCAAAAACTACAACGAACGACTCGTTTGGACTACAACGCATATTTTCCGGGATTTGTGATATCACAAATATGGACGAATGGGACGAGAGCTGGTTGAGCTGCACTAGAGAATTTAATGCGAAATAAATCAGCGGTGTACAGAAACCCGATTCCTCTTATCTCATGTGCCGTCGTTTACACATGCTATCCGTCAACGATGAGTTACGTCACTCTCGCTGTCGGCTTGTCCAACATCGTCTCTTCCTAAACCACAGATATCTGAAGAACATTGTGCTGCAACAATAACGTAATGGCAAACAGATCCGCAGCCGATCACAACAGAAGTGTACAGCGTTTCCACATCGAAGCGTTTGTGGATTTACGCTGCCTAAACCTCTCCGTCCAAGAGGTTTTCATCTGGCAGCAATAAAACTAATATTAACATGAAATGTGAGGGATTACGACGGTATTTATCAAACTCTTTCCAACAGAATAGAAACAATGAAGGCCTTGAATCAGAGGGGCAGCGTTTGAATCATACGATCCACAACTCAAATAACAGTGTGCTTATGAAACGCAAACACTGACGAGTTCAGCCGGCCAAAAGCATCTCCTGAGATTGGGCTTTGAAGAGAACGCCACTTTTCCGCTGACATTGTTAAATCACGACGTAAACGGCACAGAAATAACGGCTGCGTTCAGAATGAAATACATTCCTATTACTAACTGAATACTATGCAGCAAATACAGTATAAAGACTACTATTCTTTCAAAAATAGCAAGTGAAACAATAGCATTTCACATTTTCATCAGCAATGTTGTTAATGTTACCTAAAAAGCTTTAATTAAAAAAGTAAGAAAAAAAATAAAACTTCAAACGAAAATGAGAAATGTTGCCTTGACCACTAACTGAAATAAAAACTAAAACACGAAAAGTGAAATAAAAAATAAAAGCTAAATATTAATATACAAATATGTATATTAAAAATAACAAAAGCAAATAAATGTACTAAAAAATGTACTAAAATTAAAATAAAAACTTAAATAAAAAGCCAACTCAAAATATGAAAACACACTATAATAACATAAAAAATAATACTAAAATATAATTGGTTGTCACATGACACTGCATATGAGTGGTTATTTAATTATGCTAATTTAACAGTTATTATGAGGTAATTTTTAATAACCAAAACATTTTTAAGAATTCAAATAAAAAAATACTAATTAAATACTAATAACTTTTATTTTAATTTTAAGGCTAAATATAAAAAAATATATAAATATATAATAAAAATTATTTAAAAAAACTACACTTTAAAAAAAATGCAACATAAAATAAAAGTAAACTCAAAATATTAATAAATACTATAATAATATAAAAATAATGCTAAAATATCACTGATTGTCAAATGATCCCATCGCATTGCATATGAGTGGCATCCAGTTATATTTAATTAAAGGGATCATCGGATGCCCATTTTCCACAAGGTGATATGCTTCTTTAGGGTCTTAATGAAAAGTCTATAACATACTTTGGTTAAAATTTCTCAATGGTCCCTTTAAATGCTAATGAGCTCTGCTCACCCCGCCCCTCTCTACCGTGGGGTGATGAGCCGGTCTCATGAGACTGTTTACTTTAGCCGCGGAACTTGCGATTAATGAATCAAAAATTCATTTCTTGTTAATGAATTAAAATAGAGATGTTAAAGGGTTGCTATTATGTTTTTTCACTTTTTCAGCTTTAGTGTAATGTTGCTGTTTGAGCATAAAAAAGAGCTGCAAAGTTACAAAGCTCAAAGTCCACTTCAAAAGGAGATATTTTATTTAACAGAAATCACTTTTCAAAATCTACAACGAACGACTCGTTTGGACTACAACGCATATTTTCCGGGATTTGTGATATCACTCACTATGTCGGAGAAACGCTAAGCTTTCCCAAGGTAGACAAACTTAGAGTGGTTACAATAATCCGGGTTTAAATCGTGCTCAAATTGATTTGATATTGACAGAATATTTACACTGAAGCTCGCAGGCGGCTATGGTAAGGGACGTGACATTTCCCGATCACAACACACACTGGCCCAGCTAACCAATTACAACACACACTGGCCCACAGCACACACTGACCCAGCTAACCAATCACAGCACACACTGGCCCAGCTAACCAAACACAGCACACACTGGCCCAGCTAACCAAACACAGCACACACTGGCCCAGCTAACCAAACACAGCACACACTGGCCCAGCTAACCAAACACAGCACACACTGGCCCAGCTAACCAAACACAGCACACACTGGCCCAGCTAACCAATCACAGCACACACTGGCCCAGCTAACCAATCACAGCACACACTGGCCCAGCTAACCAATCACAGCACACAC